CAGCAGAGCAAGTAGTGGCCCGTAACTACGCGGAACTGGCTCCCTTACAAGTACGGACCAAACTTCGTGATTGCCCAAACGACCGCAAGGCATTATTTTTTAGTCGTGGAGAAATTTCTCTTTACGTTGATTAGTGTCCGATTTCGTAAGGCGATGACTCGCTCGGTGCCTTCTTGCACTTGAACCAGTATCTCTCCAAGCCGTGCGTTACTATCGTCCGTGTGAATCTCGGTTTCCGCATCCTGATCGAATTGTCCAACAACAGGAGGAGTCTGGATTCTTCGCTTCAGCTTGTCGAATGCCTGCTGCTGCTCCTCCGTCAATTCAAACATCTAGGCGTCCTTTGTAAGGTTTGTGGGCGGTGTGGATATCCCTGCAAAATCCCGAACGAAGCGCCGATAGCAGGCACAAAGTTCAAGAAATCTTCGCACGGCCTTCTTGTCTGTCGGCGCTGGAAATGCCGCGGCAGCTCGAATCCTTTCTAGGTCTGGACGAGCGCCTTTGGTGCTAAACACGTGACCTAGGATCTTCAGTTCGCCATAGGCGAACCGACACTTCGATGGATTGAGAGCGAGTCCAGCGGTCTGTATGGCTGGGAGAACAACTCGGTTTCGTCACAAGTGCTTGTCGAAATCACTTGAAAATACTACGTCGTCGTCAAGGTAGACGAGACAGCTCTGCCATTTCAGTCCTGACTGTACGGTGTCCATGACAAGCTGCTGCTGGTTTCGTGCATGGTCCAAAGGGCATCACCTTGAACTCGTACAGTCCATCCGGCGTCACGAAAGCTGTATTCTCTCGGTCCTGTTTGTCGACTTCGATCTGCCAGTAGCCGCTTTTCAGGTCCATCGATGAAAAATGTTGAGAGTGGCGCAGCCGGTCGAGCGTGTTGTATATGCGGGGGACTAGGTACAGTATCTGTCTTTCTTCGTCACCGCGTTCAGCTGCCGGTAGTCCGCGCAGGACCTAAGCGTTCCATCCTTCTTAACCAGGATGACTCAAGAGGCCCACGGACTGCGTAAAGGTTGGATTATGTCGTCGTTCAGCATTTCTTCCACTTGCTGCTTGATGACCTCGCGTTCTTCTACGGAGACTCTGTACGGCGAACGATGCACAGGGAGCGCGTCGTCCTCGGTAAGATGCGGTGCTTCGCAATGGCGGTACGGCGCACCTTCGACGATGTCGTGAAGCAGTCGCTGTATTCGGCGAGAAGGTTAATCAACTGCCGTCGTTTCGGGCCTGGAAGCTTTGGATTAATATAGAGCTGCGCTGGTGGCGCACTGTTTTGCTGAGGCGGTGAGGATTCATCAGCGATCACGCAATCTCGGCGGAGTTCCGGAGTTTCTCGACAGGGCGCACAGCGGCACCTTTTGTGAGGTGTTGTTTCTTGTCCGAAATTCGCTGCGAGGACCACAGTGCGTCCATTTTGAAGTTCAGTTACCCCCCTTGTGGTGCCGATTCCTCTTCCAAGGAGAAATTGAACGTTGCCTTCTAGAAAAACTTCGCCGGAGGTGGCTGCGTCGGTCATGGCGAGTACTACAACATTTGATTGCAGCGGCAGGTTCGCGTGGTCAGCATCGACTCGGACGGCGACTTACGCTGTTTCGATGTCGTCTGAATGCAGAACAGGTGTCCGCGGCGTCAATCTGTTCTTCCCAAGGTTGGTGACGGCGCCGTATTCACAGAGAACGTTCATGCAGAGAATGACGTCTCTGGCAGAGTTTTGTAAAACGACGAATTTTACAGGGCACGTCTCGCCATGAATCTCGAATCGGGCAGCGCCCTTTCCGACGGCCGTAATAAGCTGTCCTCTGACGGTTCGGCTTTTTGGCCCACCCCAGGGCGTCGCAACATTTCACAGGTTGCTAGAGATCCTCCCACTTAAGGCTGAGTAATCTACTCCGCTTTCCATGCCGGCCGAAGCCTCGTGGCCGTCGATAACAACTTTTAGGTTGTTGGGCACCATTTCAGGAGAGTCGTTGCGATGCGTGGCGTCGGGAGGGTGGGGCGCTCCGGCGTTCTTGGGGGCTCTTTACCTCGGTCGTCTTCGGGAACGTCACCTCCAGGCGTGGCCGCAATTTGTTTTCCCGTAGACGCAGGGGTGGCAAGCTTTGCCGGCGGGACCGACGAAGGGCCGATGCCGGACGTCGTAGGGATGGTGAACGGGATCCCCGGGAAGGACCCTGCACTGAAAACGGCGGACGGTGCAGTACTCCTCGATGTCTCTTGGTCGTTGTCCCAGGCGGGGCCGAGGGTCGTTCGGAGCACACTCTCAGCCTCATCTGGGGGGAGCTGCACCGTCTGTACACGTGGCCGGCTTCACCGCAGTGGTAGCTAATAGGGCGCCGGCCGGCCGTTCGCCAGATGTCTGTTTTCCGGGGTTGGCTGGGTTTCATGAAAGCGTACTGGACCTGGTCGTCGTGGCGTCGGCCGTACTGCGGCGCAGAAGGCTGACGTCGGGGCGGCGCGACATAGACGCGAGAAGGAGGCGGTGCCTGCCTGGCCGTTGGGGCGTAAGTTAGCGTGGGTTCTTCAGGGTCTGCCACGCCGATGGGAGCCTCTGGTTGGATAAGTCTCTAAACTTCTTGTCACACGACCTCGGCGATGGAGAGCGAAACTAGTCGGTCAGCGGCGGGTAGCAGCTTTCGGAGCTCTTCCCGAACGACGTCACGGATGATGTGCCGAATGTTTTCCACACAGCAATGTCCAGGTCAAGCCGCGATAATGCGTCAGTTGACGCAACAGAGGTGCCGACGAGTCGGTGGTAGTGCCTTGCCTGGGCCAACGGTGCACGCCTAATGTTTGTGGCTTACACTACAAAGTCGTCAACAGCTGTTTGCGGGTGTCGGACAAGACCGCCGAATATTTCACTCTCCACACCCTTCATGAGGGCGCAAAGCTTCTTCTCCTTGGTGACCTGACGTTTAGCGCAGGCACTCAGGCACAGGACATCCTCCACGAGGATCTGTCTAGTTAAATCTCTCTAGAAGGAACTTCCACGGAGCCTCAAGTACGGGTGTCGATATGGTGAGGTTGATAGACTCGGTCTTGGACGCGATTCCGTGAGCGTAGAGATGCGTTTCCGCGTCGACGAGTACGTTCCTCCACAGATCGACAAGTAGGCCGAAATTGCGTAAAAAATCTGCTCCCAGGATGGACTGCTGTACGTCAACCACATAAAACACCCAACGAAGCGTCCTCCTCAGACCTAGGTCGAGAGTGAGCGACCGTTTTCCATAGGTCTTGATGGCGGAGCCGTTGACAGCTCGTAAGGGGGGGGGGGGGGGGGGGGGAGTGTTTCTGCGGGGCACCGTCGGTCCTGTTTTATTGGTGGAATCGCGCTGACTTCCGCTCCAGTATCAACGAGGTACTGATGCTTAGTGGTGCGGTCACTCACAAAGAATAGACGGCTTGTTTTGTGGTCCGCAGCGCCAGCCGCCGTCAGCGCCGGGCCTGCCTGTTTTCCTGGAACGTGCAGGGTGGCTCACATCTTCTAGCACGGTTACCAAAGGTGCGGGGGTACCAGCATGTACCGCTGCTGTTTGCAGACCTAGATCGACGACGTCGTGGTGGGCTGTCGGAGACCTGACGCGTTTTCGGACAACGAGTGTCCGGCCGCAGCTGCTTGAGGTTTTTTTAATAGGTATGCGACAGTCGATGTGAGCACTTTGTTAGACTCCAGCAGTTGGAAAAGAGTCTCATCCAACAGAGATGTTCGGTGTGACGGGTTTGGATGAGTTAGTCGGCAAACGTTGGGCGTGTTAACGTCCATGATTTGGTCCGCCATTCGAGCTGGAGTTTCGACGGGGTCTGTTGCTGAGGTGAAGAGAATCATGCGGACTTGAGTGGGCAGTCTCTGGAGAAATAATTCTCGGAGTATGCTTGCGTCCAAGGTATTTGCCTTGTCACACAGAAGTTGCTCCATACGACGAAGTAGCTCCGATGGTTTCCTGTCTCCAAGTTCCTCTGATGTCAGAAGCTGTTGAAGTCGCCGTTGTTCGGACTCCGTCGTACGCCGTATAAGCTCGGCCTTGAGCATGTCGTACGGCATACATTGAGGGGGTGCACGCAGGATATCCCGGACAACCGCCGCCACTGTTTGGGGCAGTGACAAGACGACCTGGTCAAATTTGGACTGTTGGGAAGTTATCTTATTTTTCCGGAACGAGCACTCAATAGTCAAGAACCAAAGTTTCGAGTCTGACGACCACAATTCCGGCAGTTTGAAATTTATTGAAGTAACTGCGGCAGCTGCTGAGCTGTCTTCTGAGTGACTCATGATTGACTAGTGAATGTGCGTCGGGTGACGGGGCGGCTCCAAGGATTTGAACGCCAAGGAGTTACTTGCCTTGACGGATGAGCACGATGTTTTAGTCCGACATGCCGGGTCACCAATTTGTGGGTTCGTTAGAAAGCGAGGAGTCGCGAGCGCCAGAATATGTTATATTTATATATTTACAAAAAAAAAATAAAGGAAATAAACGTGAGGGTTGTTCGTTGGTAGGTATGGCCGAAAACTGGTTCACTCTCGTGCTCTCTTCGCGCGCCTCTCGCGCATTGTTGCGTCCTTCTCTTGTTCCTTGTGTCTGTAGTTCCTACATATGAATCGGTCGGTCTGGTCGGGCCAGTCGCGCTGGTCTGGTTGTCCGCTCTCGTGACCGTCGCTCTAATGGCACGCGAGCCAATGACGCAGCGCTCTCGGGTCGCGCGTGCTAACGTCGCAGCCCTCCCGAGTAGAGATGTAAGATTTCGTGAAATATTTGATGGCCCGCAAAAAAAAAAACAGTTTTTTCTTAGGTTTTTTTCAGGGAAAGTTGAGATTGCTGGGCGAGTACGCATTTATTACATCAACGCATTATGATAAGGCTAACTTTCTATTTGGAAAGTTTCAATATCTGAAATACTTCAAATTAAGGTGTATGTAATATCAACAGCTTACCAAGCAGAAATACCATATTTCGGTAAGGCTAAAGAGCGTTGCATATGTCCCCGAGCACTTGTTATCCCGAGTCAGAATCGCTGGATAGAGGAACACTCGCGTTCACGTCGGTCGAAGAATTTTTCAGGTTCAGATTCGAGTGCACATACACAAGTTTTTTTACACGTTCACCTGCAAGCCGGTTGAGCACTTCTTTATCTACATTCCCAAACTGAGACCAGTTTCGTTCACACGTTGCAGACGATGGGGGAATCTGCAAAAGCCGACATGCCAGGGGTGTCAATGGCTGGTTAGTGCAGAGTCCTTGCCACCAGGTGGATGGTTCCACGTGCTTCGCAGACTCCCAAAGTGCTGCCCTGGACCAAATCCCCGTAGACGCCCTATATTCTTCGAGATTAGAAAGCAGCTTCCCGATGTCAAGCGAAAGGTGCTCAGCCTGCTTGGAGATCCAGTCAAATGTGCCTGCAATCTGTGCGTCATCAAGGTTTCTCCCCCTATATCTTGCATCCAGCAAGTTAGCAGCGACGTGAATGGGTCGCAAGCAAAACTTTCCACGCTTGCTCATGATCTCTTTTGCGCGAGCCTTCTCCTGGTCTGTTAAAGTGCTGGTCGCCAGTTTCGTGATTACTTCGGTTTTTACGGAATGGAGAACTTCCGAAACGTCCGGCAGCAAAGCCTTGTCCGACTCCAATTCTGTAATGGCAGAAGAAATGGGTGTCACCAGTTCCAAACAGCTGCGCAAGGGTTTCCAGAGTCCATCCTCGTCCAAGACGGCTTGCCGCACTGATTTGTTTACTTTCGTATCTTCCAATATCACCGTCTCTTGCAGAGCTTCTTTGTTCCTGAGCAAGCTTTGAAGTGAGAGAGTAACGCCGCCCCATCTTGTCTTGCTGGGCAGCTTGAGGGTCGTGGAACTTCCTTTGCCATCTCTGGACTCTTGCTTCTGTTGGAACGTGGCAGCAACTACGTGAGTCTGCTTCACGCACTTGATCACTTCTCTGGATGTCTGATGAACCTTCTCCAAGGTTTCTAGCCTCATGAGATCATTCAGGAGCAGATTCAGCCCATAAGCAGCACATCCAATCGTTGCGATGTGCGGAAATTTGCATGTAACCATTTGACATGCCGCTTGCATGTTGCTAGCGTTGTTCGTGACCAGTGCCACTACCTTTTCACTTTCGAGGGAATCAATGACATCATATATTTCGCCGCTGATATAAGACGCAGTGTGCCGGTTTGTGCCTGTTTCTATTGACGTGTACAACACTGGCTGCGGCGTAGCTACGACAAAGTTTATCACCGATTCCCCTCGAATGTTGGTCCAGCCATCAGTCAGCAGTGTGAGGCACGTAGCGTCTTTCAAAGTCTCCTCCACATGACTTTTCACACGCTCATGCTCTGCGTCAAGTGAGGCCCGCTCAATAGGTATCGGCTAGGCGGTGTGTACGATGGTCGAAGCATCTTGAAGGCCGCTTGCCAATGCTCGTTTTCCGCTGAGAATGGCGTGTTGGCTGAGTACATCGCCCTAGCCAAAGCTGCGTAAATTTGGTTTTGAAGCGCAGGGGTTATTTTGTCAACAAACGAAGAAATACTCGCGCATTTTATTTTGACGACGTAGATTCCGGTGCGCGTCGGCTAGCCTCTGACCCACATGATGCGGGCACTGATGAGCTCCCAGAGAGATTTTTTCCATATTCTTTTGCACACGCCTCCTTGACGTATTGAGGACACTTCTTGCACGACAGCAGATGCTTCGTAAGGCGTGTAGCATTCGGAAATCCATGCGACACTTGGCAGTATTTACATAGTGCTTGTTTTTTTCCCGCGGTCAACGTTTGTAAGACTTTAAAATGCTTCCAAGTGCAAGACTGCGGACGAACCATGTTGTGAAATTCTTCACGTTGCGCGTTCTCCGATGATATAGACGTTGGTTGAGATAGTTTAGATCGACGTTAATAAACCACTCAGTTGGGAAACTGCCATAGAGACTACTTTGAAAAAGTGGCCCCTATTTGTCCTCTAGCACCGAGCTAATGACGATCACAACGCCACAATTTCTCCCGCAGCGGCCATTCGAGGAACCGCACGTTACTTCTATTTTAGCTTTAATCGGTCATTTTAGCGCAGAATTGGACGCAGTGGAAAGGTGACAGAGGTGCCACCCCCATCTCCCCAGCGAACGCGCCGCGTCTTACTACCGAAGTTAAAATGCTCCTAGGTCGGGACGCGCTACCTGAAAGCACCGCAGAGGCATGGTTGTATAAAAACAATATTAATTGTGCCGCAAAACCTAGCAAACTAAAGCTTTTAAAACATCACGCGCCTTCCATTTTGTATTAAACTCCAACAAATTTAATACAAAAAAGTCTTTTCCGTTTGTTTTACGCAAAAACAAGCTTTTCTAGAAGCTCAAGGCGACCACAGTACAGACAAATGATAAAGAGTGGCGCTGTTCTCGTATTTAGCTCGGTTTCGGCGGATGCCAGCGGATCCATAGAGAAATATAGAACTACGTAAAGAGTGGCCACTCAAGCCGTTCCGCGGCCCAGGAGTTAGGGACTCTACTGGCCGTTAGTAGGTGCAACAGTTCCACTTATCCTGAACATTTGTCAGATATATAGGGTGGCTAAAGTCGCCAGGCTCGATCTAAAATGGACCGTAAAAATCGACGCCTGCCCGTAGCCCCTCAAACTTTTCGTCAAAGGTGTATTTCATAGGTCGGTTTTTTCTTGTAGAATTACAAAGCGTAGTTCTCTTTCTGTAAAAAATAAGGCCAAGAAACTTGCCTGGGTCAACGGCGGGAGGCGACGCAGACGACCAAGTCAAGGTGCGGGGTGTGTTTGACACTCCTATTGATAGATGGCGCTACCTCCTTGTTTCCGTCAGAGTTCTGGTTTCGGTTTGCTTTCAATGAAATATCGAAAGTGCCCGCGTCGACCGTGGTTTATTGACACCAACATAATCGGTTTTGTAATCTACCTTTGGCGTGAAAATAAATGCAGACAATGATAGAAAAACTTCAAGTAACAAAAATAAAAGAAAACGCGGTTGCATAACGACAACGCTGACGGCGCTCTTGCTGCCGGCGGATTTCGTCTGCGTGTCGTCTGCTTTCTTTCGCTGGTCGGTTGCATCCTCGGACGCTGCTTCCGAGACCATTTTTTTGTTTTGTTTTGCCGCGGTTGGTGGAGAGACAGCCACCATGCGTCACTTTGGATGCTATTTACACCGCATGCACTTTTGAGACACGGGAGGCTGCCAAAGCAAGCTCCAGATAAACAGCAATTAATGGCTCTGAAAAGAGCCTGTCAGTAGGAGCCCGCGGTTTTCGCGGTTGTCAAAGCCGCTGGTCATATGTGCAAAATGGATAGATATGTGATCTTCAGTTCTCGTTGTCTTCAGTCCACATGTCCACCTCGAACTTGGAGGCACTTGTGCAGTCTTCGCTCATAATCCCTGAAGGCTGCCTCCCGCATGTTGTCCGTGATCGCATCGAAGGCGGATATAATCCGCTCTTTTAGTTCCGTCATCGAGCGTACGCGAACTGCGTAGACCTGGGCTTTCACAAAACCCCAAACAAAAAAATCACAAATTGTCAGGTCAGGGGACCGTGGGGGCCAGGGCATTGTCGGTGACCCTCGACCCATCCAGTTGCCGGGAAAGGTTCTGTCAAGCCAGTCTCTCACTGCGGTGGCGTAGTGCGGTGGTGCTCCGTCTTGCTGGAAGATGCACACCTCCCTTTGTATGTGCGAAGCTTCCAGCTCCGGCAAGACGTCCTGTTCGAGCATGCGAAGGTAGGCGTCGCCGGTGACCGTGCCCTCAAAAAAAAATGGACCGACAACGCCTTCCCTCCAAAGTCCACACCATACTACGACCTTTGGTGACTGGATAGCCTCTTCAATGATCCAGTGGGGGTTCGTCTCGGACCAGCAGCGGGTGTTTTGCTTGTTCACGTGCCCATCCAGATGAAAAATAGCTTCGTCCGTGAAAAGCAGAAACGGAAGGTGGTTCCTGTTTGTGGAGATGCGCCCAAGTTCGTCCACGCAGAACTGCTTTCGCCGTTCATAGTCATCTGGCTGCAGCTCGAACAGAACCTGTGGCTTGTACGGATACATTTGTCGGCGGATCACCATCCAGACGAAACTTTTACTGATGCCAAGTTGTCTTGCGACTTGCCGCACGGAGAGGCGTGGGTTCAATGCAAATGCCGCAAGCACGGCGTGTCGTTTGTTCTGCTGTGGCGACCTCTCTTCAAGTACTCGCAGCCTGGTCTGCACAGTGTTTTCCGTGTTGAATCGGTGCACCCAGCGCAGGACAGTCCGACGGGTGGGCGGACGCCTGCGAAAAGTGGCTCGAAACTTCGATCTCACTTGCCTCATACTCCTGGTTTCTGTAAACCAAAGGACTACTTTTGCCCTCTCTTCGACGGTCAGGTGACGCATTGTGGCTGTTTTCTCCCCAACCACGACAGAAAAGGTCTCGGAAGCAGCGTCCGAGGATGCAACCGACCAGCGAAAGAAAACAGACGACACGCAGACGAAATCCGCCGGCAGCAAGAGCGCCGTCAGCGTTGTCGTTATGCAACCGCGTTTTCTTTTATTTTTGTTACTTGAAGTTTTTCTATCATTGTCTGCATTTATTTTCACGCGTCGACGCGGGCACTTTCGATATTTCATTGAAAGCAAACCGAAACCAGAACTCTGACGGAAACAAGGAGGTAGCGCCATCTATCAATAGGAGTGTCAAACACACCCCGCACCTTGACTTGGTCGTCTGCGTCGCCTCCCGCCGTTGACCCAGGCAAGTTTCTTGGCCTTATTTTTTACAGAAAGAGAACTACGCTTTGTAATTCTACAAGAAAAAACCGACCTATGAAATACACCTTTGACGAAAAGTTTGAGGGGCTACGGGCAGGCGTCGATTTTTACGGTCCATTTTAGATCGAGCCTGGCGACTTTAGCCACCCTATATAATATTAATAAATAACTTTGTTGTATAGAGTAAACTTTTAAAATTATTAGGAACTTTGAAAGGCTTCAAAAACGACATCAACGGTTTCGGCTACGGCTGAGGCGCGACGGTTGGCTTCGGAGTCGTGGACTTGACGGAGGGCGGATACTTCGGCTGCTGGGTCTGTGTCTCTTGCCTCGTTGCGTGGGTTGAGTAGGTTTTCCGGCTTGTTGTCTCGTGCGGCTTTTTAGTCATTCTTCCGTCGCGGTCATGGTATACGGTATACGTTAGAAATCCTGTGACTGCAGTTTCTTTGTTGACGGACATTTGCATTCGGTCACTGAATTTAGAAGCCACTGGGCCAGATTGTTCTTCTATCGTTGCTGTATTAGTCACAGGGCCATATGTGTAAGCGCTTTTCGTGGAACTTGTACGGTAATTTATTTGAATGCCCTCCATCATACTGCATTTGTCGCTGTAAGTCTCGCTGTAATACAGTACTTTGTTTTTCCAGTGTTGCACTGTTGACGCGGTAGTCATACATTTTGCATGTACATGGGCGTACCAACCCGGGGGGGGGGGGGAGGGGGGGGGGGGCAAGGGAGGCGCTTGCGCTCCCAGTTCTTCGGGGGGGGGGGGGGGGTGCAAGGCATGTGGTTGCCCAACCCCCTCCCCCCTTTACAGCCACCAATGGGCAGGGTGAACACTGGCCGGCTGCGCCCAGGGGAAACCAAAGGTACCGTCCCCCGGCCAGGGGTGTAGGGGCCTGGTTTGCCCCCCCCCCCCCCCCCCCCCGCACACACTCAAGATACAAGTTGGTACGCCACTGTGCATGTGTCTTCTTATTTTTGCAATGTATGAATAACATACATCGCTCATTGTCTTCAGAGCTGATGTTTGTTTTGCTTGTCATAGTTACAAAAATAAATACTTCTGTGTGTCAATCCCTGCTGTCGTCCCATGTCGTCCCTTCAAGAGAGTTAGCACAAATGTGAAAATATCTTTTTCAGTGTGTCAGTTCGAATTATATGTAGCGCTGGACGACTTTTCTTCTGCTGTACAATTAAAGTATACATATAAAACAATTCTATTTTAAACAAAAACCAGGCTAGTTACAAAAACACTGGTTCGTTAAACTAGAGGGCGCATGCTACTGCCCGATACAAAAATACCGCCATAATTCGT